TATATATATATATACAGTTGACACACGTGCTGAGAGAGTGCATTGCAAACAGCCAAAGGCACTCGTGTACACGTTTTTTGCTGAAGCCACTGTGGTCATGGAGATTCATACTGCGACCTGACAACTTCAGCCACCGTCGTCTAAGTACCACTCCACACAGCGCAAGGCTAACCCTGCCAAAGTGATTATACCCAACCATAAGATACCCATCGCGTGCTCAGTGTGTGGTTGACTGGCCCCATCCCCAACAAAGCAAGATTCTCCTTTTCAAGAGGGTTTGGTTGAGCACCACTGAAGAAGCATTGCAACCATTCTGAGCGATGGCAAAGCACTTGCAGGCCAATGTTCCACTACTTGGACTTCCGAGGACGGGGTCGGAAGCCGGGCTGCCGACAGGTTTTGCATCCTTTGGAGGCATACCGGCACCTGGAACACCCAAATGTCTTCTCAAAACGGGAAAGCCCAGACTTTGTCCCCTTGGGATTCCCCTTGACCTTCACATTTGCAGGCTTGGCGCTTGCAGGCAAAGATTTGGGACTCGTCCCCTTGGACTTGGACTTAGCACCACCAGGCTTTTGGGGTTTCCCCACTTTTCGCCCCTTTGAGGCAACCGACCCTCCATCAGGGGGTCTCTCCAGGAGTTCCCTTCCCTTTAGCTGTGCTCTTGGCTCCCATTGATGGTGTATCACTTGGATTCTTCTTGGCTCGACCATCCGCTTTCTTTGAACGTTTGTTGGGTTCAGCCGGTCTGGTTTCTTGGGCCGACCTCGCTTTCCCTTGTTGGCGGCTCGAAGCGTAGATCGAAAGGCTGCTTGCTCACCAGGAGTAACCAAGTCATCGTCCTTCAGGGATTTGGTCTTGGGGTGCAATCTGTAGAGGGGATGGACAAGAGTTCAACAAGATAACATCACCATCAAAAATGGATTCGTTTGACGCCACACCCTGTCTTCCTCTCCATCCGAAATGAGACAGACGTCAGGTGCATCGTTTGCCCCCGCTGGTTCCACAGGAGGCATCAGTCCAGTGTCCAGCGGGAGGGTACCAACCTATTCAGGGTCCGAAGCTTATAACCTAACATAACCCAACCAAAACCTTCACAATGTGAGCATTCTTTAAACCGCAGTAATACCAGCCACACCTCAGCTACCGAGACCACACCATGCACCGCAGGAGTCTTCGAAGGTGCATCAGGTTCATTGCGAGGAGGACTGTCAACGAGCACCGGTTGACCAGAAGAAGGTCCTGAGATAAAGCTGGGAGAAGGTATGGCTGCAATTGGCGTGGCATCTCTAAGTGAAAACAAAAAGGAGGAAAATGTTTGACCAAGTATACGCAAGTTTGCAAATGATGCCTTGTTTGCGGCGGACCCTGGATATTGGATCAGTGCACCCGTCTTTCAGAGAGTATCGATGTTTCTTCTATACAAACAGTATCCCCCACAAGAAAAATATATACGGTCCACGTTGGTCCAGTGACTCTGCTAGCCGTTTCTCGAGCAGGGCAATCTCTGAGTTCAGCTGGTCCAGCTGCTTCTTCTTCGCGTACACCCCACAATCACTAGCCAAAGGGTTGGGTACGATGTCACGGTCTTCCCACAAATCGTTCACAGCGGACCCTTTTGTTTTTGGAGACCACGTGGGGAAGCCTTCTTCAAAATGGATCTCTTGGACTTCCTCTTGCGCAAAGAGACCTTGGACCCAGAACGTGAGTGTTTGGTCAACTTAGGCCGTGGAGTCGTGTCCACGTGAATGGCTGGGGCGGAGTCATCCACCACTTCTTACTCCCCTCCATCACCACCACCAGTCTCATCCTCAAGGTTCAACTCACCTTCCAAAAATTGGCGGTGGTCGGGTTGCCAACCTTCAAGTCCCGGGTTTGCTGGAAGAGCTTCGCGACACCAGAATCCTAGGGCGGCCGGGCAAATTTAGTGTTTGGTTTCCACTCCTTCCCCAAATCCTGGTTTGGTGGGATTAATGTGAGAAGATGTTTTAATACATGCAAGGTGTCTCTTGGAGTTTGCCCACGGCGTGTGGCATCAGCGTCCCGTCTGATAGCGTACCGGATGAGTCTCCTAATGGACCAGGCATCTAGCCAAGGTTGCTTGGGCGTCGCCGGAACAAAGCCCATGGTCTGAAACAGTTCAGCCACCTCAGGGCGGGGAATGCATAGAAAACGATTTATCAAAGATCTTTGAACACCCCAACAAAAATATAAAAGGTATATATATATATATATGTATATATACTGGGGGATTGTTTGTTGTGTTTCCCCTGTGAGGCCTCCTTGGTCAACTGGTCGATGATTGCAATCTCCAACCCATAGAACTGCAAAGCTGTCATGAGGATCTGGTAGTTGTGTCGTAAGGCATCAGTCGAAATGACAACATCTCCTTCTTTATTGGTTTCACGCTTCAACCACGGGTCACCTTTCCGGAACCGGGCCCGCACTGTGGCGAAGTTCTCCCACCGCTTTGCACACTCGAACACGGGTTTGTCTGGCGCTGGAAGCGCCAGGGCCATGGCACTGGAGCCCCGCGTGGTGAGAAAGCCCCAAGTGTTTGATCCACAGCTCTATATCATATGTGGTCTAGCTGCGGACTTCAACCAACAGGAATCTTTTGAAGTCTCTCCAGCCCCAGAAGCACGCGTGCCTCCAGGAGCCACAGTTGAGACGGCAGCCTGAGAATAGGGCAGATCGGATCGTTGGAAGGTTTTGGTGCGGGGGGAATGGCCAAAAAGTGTGACGGTCGACATCCTTTTTGTAAACATTTTGCCTTTGTGGATCTTGGTGTGGTAATTGCTTTCATCTCACAGTGCGCCTTCCCCTGCAGTCGAAGCGCAAAAGGAACTGATGTGTCCTGCGGAGGCCGGAGTGCGACACAACAAACACTTCAGCCCCACCATGTCGCTTGACCAATTCATCCCATAGTTGGACCAACATCCAGCAGTCACTGTTTATTGCAGGGAACCGATCGATCTTCGAAACCACAGGTGCAACAATCGATTATATAGGTTTCGCGCGCCCCTCACCGAGGTGCTGCTCTGCTGCTTTCCTCCCCCCTGTTTGTCCCTTTTCGTGGTGCCCCTGCCCTTGCGTGATGGGGCAGCAGGCAGCGACAGGGCAGAAGAGGAAGGAAGGGGGAGGGTGAGGGAGACAGGCGAAAGGCAGCGGGAGGAAGACAGAGGTCGGCGAGCTCTACTGTGCCTACGGCCACTCCACTTTAGGGGCGCGCTCGAATCGTCGACGTTTCGCGCGCCCCTCACGGAGGTGCTGCTCTGCTGCTTTCTCTCCCTGGTCACATCTGGGCCCCTTCAAGAGACAAGGAAGAGATGAATTTTAATATTAAAAAAGCAAAGTGAATAATATTAAAATTCATAGACTCAGACTCGTCGTATTTTGGGGAGTTCATACGTATGAATCATTAAAATAAATAGTGACTTCCCTATATTTTAATGATGAATGGGGAGGAAGAATGCAGAAATATAACTAATAACCACTTTTTCCATTATTGTAAGATATTAATTTAGGAAAAAGTGGGAGGAGAGAATAAGAGATAGACGATTGCCAAAATAAGATATAAATAAGTGAAAGGCAATCGTCAGCCAAGCTTTTATTAATGAAAATATAGCAACTAATATTATAAAAGCTTGGCAATCAATGATTATTATTAATGATTATTATTACGGTTGCTCTTATTATAATAATTCTTGTATCTTAAGAGAGCAACCGTATATTTAAGAGAGATATCTTATAATTTATGCCTTGTTTTCTTTAAGATTAAGAGATAAGAGAATTATATTATGAAAACAAGCCATTATTTATTATCATGAACCATCATTTGTCTCTTGTTATGGGCGATTATATTAATAAAAGAAATATGAATAGATGAATAATCGCGCATAAGACAATAATGAATAGATGAATAATAATTGTGCCCACATAAATAAATAGCAAATAAAATAGTGGGCACAATAGAATATAGAAAATACAATAATGATAATTAATGCTAATGAATAATAAAATGGTAGATTAACCGTGTAATTTCCTTATAACTAAATATGAATAAAATATAGATGAAAAAAACACAAGGTAATAATATAAGAAGATACCAAGAACCCACCACAGCCAAAAATTATTCTCTGTCATCTCTTTTCCTTGATTTTTGGCTGTTGGGACCTAAGGACCATGAATTTTATGATTAATTGCTACTATAAAATTCATGGTGAGCGAGGTGAGTGACAGTGGGTAGGGAAAACAAATGACAATTAGTTAATTTCTTTCTTATGGTCATTTATTTTCTATGGTCTCTTCGGGGTCAGTCGTTGCGTGACAGATCCTGCCGGGGCGCATCCGGCAGGAAGGGGAGAGCGGGAGGCAGGTGGAGGGAGGCAGAGAGAGGAAAGCAACGGACAGGGAGGAGAGGGCCAGGAGGAAAAAGGCTACGAGGCTAGGACAGCCCTTTGGTTAGGCGAGGCATTGGCCGAGGATAGCCCCATGGATAGCGCTAGGCATAGGCCTAGGATAGGCCTATGGCTAGCCCAGGCATAGGCCCAGGATAGGCCTATGGATAGCGCTAGGCCTCGGCCTAGGATAGGCCCATGGATAGCGCTAGGCCTAGGCCTAGGATAGGCCCATGGATAGCGCTAGGCATAGGCCTAGGATAGACCTATGGATAGCGCTAGGCATAGGCCTAGG